GTCCTGTCATGCGTCAGCTCCCTTTGCGCTGGCTATAACCACGAGCAAAAAGTCCTTCATAGGGCCTTTGAACGAAACTAGCACTGCTACACCTGCGTCTCTCCACTCCCACACTATATCATCGCATTCGCCTAACTTGCAGTTAACTTGTACCTTCAACTCCCTCTTCAATGGCCGACAAAACTAGCAGTTTTGTGCGATAGAACTAGGAGGGCTGGTAATCTAAAGGCACAACTTCTTTTGTAGGTACTTTTTCACACCGTTCTCCTGTCAACTATATATTACTCAATTATTGACATCCCACCAAGTTCACTTTTCCCCATCTAAAGCTATTTCACGACGTGCTCGTCCATCTTAAACTCCGAGTTAGGTGGGCAATAACAGCGAACAAACTCGCAGTCAACTCTCATCCAAGCGTCTCCATTTCGGCTAGATTATTACCGCCCCAGATTGTTAGTTGAATATTGTACGACAAAGAGCAGAAGAGTGACACACGGCTTAGGTTAAAGGCGCATTTCTGCAATAATATCGTACAGAAGGAAGACACAGACAAGTGTCTGTAGACGATATTAAAATAAAATATTATTCTAAGGACCTAGATGCGTACTTGTCTGCAATTGTATTTTCTAACATCCTGTTCATCTAAGTACCAACAGAGCAGTCCTTACGTGGGCTAAAATACTCTTACGTTATGAAGCGTGTTATGCTTAGATTTTGCAAACGAGATGAGAGAGTGTAGACAAAAAGTTTCCACAATGATCATAGAAAAAGTTACTTACCCTGATTCAGCTATACTGTCACATTGCTCACTGTTACACGTATAGCTGCAGTCTTGATATATACCTAATAGTGCTAAATTATACGCATAAATGCTAGGAAATGAAAGAAAACTGAGACGATTGGTCCGGAATGATTTCCAATGCTTGCATGATGAAATATCGTTAAGTGCAACACAACATGCGCACGCAAAACTGGTTTCTATCATTTTGTCAAGACTTTAGAAAATTCATAACATAGTGACATTAATTCTATTTCTCAAGGGAATGTATTTGCATTCTTATTTCTCTCTAAAGAGGCTTCCTCTAATACTTCAGCTATTCCAAGAAGTTATGCTTAGTAATGATTGGTGGTGGGTAGAACACAATGTTTGTACGGTGTCTTTATGTGGTGGCTTGACCTTTGGCAAATGTTGTACTCAGAATTTAAAGGTACATGGTCGGCCAACCCTCAGTGCACTTAATACCGCGTTGATAGAAATTGAGAACAACATAAGTTTATATTAATTGATAGCTTGCATACTCGGCTCCTGTTTCAGAGTTTCTATAGTTCTCTGTTTTGAATTATTTTTTTCTTAAAGGTACACAATTTAGTTTCTAAGA